AAATGTTGACTCATGCACAAATAACCCTGTTTTAAATGCTTATTTAGAACCTTGCAATGACTTCAGTTCACTTTCAACCCTTTGAAAGAAGAATAAAAAAAAAATCCACATTCGAGGAATGTTTATAGACCGCAGGTCTATAAGCAGTTAAAAAAAACATTCATGGAATGTGGACTTTTTGTAATTCTTCTTTCAAAGGGTTGAAAGTGAACTGAAGTCATTGCAAGGTTCTAAATAAGCATTTAAAACAGGGTTATTTGTGCATGAGTCAACGATTACCTCTATACAGCCTCTATCAAAGTTTGTAGACCTGTTTACTTGAGCCTCAGAATAAAAAGAGAGACTTATCAAGTTTTATTTTTAACTGTCATATGTCTTTACTAACTGAGGAGGAATCTTTTGTGGGAACAGCAACATTTTATTTTACTCCCATTATGATCCAAATTTACATTAAACCCATGAAGTGTGAAAAAGAAAGAGGTAGGTACCCTACATTGCCACTAAGGGGCGCTTTCCACAAACTGTAAAATAGGTTTTGTATTATATGCTGCATTATTTTTTGCTCACTGTTTCATATTATACCACAGAATTTTAAAGGATTACATGATTGTGGTATTTATTTGAATGATCAAAAAATTAGGGCAAAACACAAAACTAATGCAACTCATAGCTTAAAACAGTTAAAATATTTGTAGATTGTATTATACCCCAAGAGCATAGCGATACAGTGTCTTCACTCTAGTAGGGTATGTTTATTTCCATGTGCACATGGCTTTTAAAGTTGACACCTGCTAGGTATTTTGGCACGGCTCAGTGTTTATCATCGCTTTGCAGCGCTGCCGCCTGTCAGAGACCAAGCAGTCACGGTGAGCCACGCCTCTTGTCCATGTGCTTCCTCCTCCAATCTTCTAATCCCTCCCCGTGCCACACGCTCTGTATTTTGCATAAAATGTGTATCAGTAGGACAGGGCACTCTCCCAGGCACATGTAGAGCGCACATGCAGCTTGGCTTTACTGAACGCAAGGCACGATCGAATAAGCGCATCAAATTCCCCGCAGCTCCAGATCACCGCCAATGAAAACGCACAAAGCGTGAGATGGTATGGTGGAGGGAGGGGGCAGAGAAGGGGAATCAGAGGTAGAAAGTGTGAGCCAAAACCTCCCCATACACACACACACATACGAGGACAACTACTCAAGCTGGGACGACCCAAAAGGCGGTCACATTTCCCATGCTCACCTGCAAACGTGATTGATGTGGGTGTTTGTATCAGTGGGTGTGTATGTCATGTCTGACACTATCACACCGGTCAGGGATTTGCTGACTTCACTCTCTTAGAAAGTGTGAGAATTGTGCACCACCAGCCGCGCTCCACAGTCGCGCGTGTGCAGCTGAGCAATACGCAATAAGTCCTCCAGATATCTCCGAAGAGCCAAGCCGCAACTTGCAGAGAGGGACTGACTCTTACGCACCTGAACAGAGACCCTGATGCGCACTGACGCATTTTTCACCACTTCTTCCAGTTTCTCCATGGAGCAGGTGTTTTCTGCGGAGCTATTTTTTTGACTTTCTTGTCGGTCTTCTAAAACCAGCCATTCCCTGACATCCGTGAAGTCCTTTTAAAGTCAGCAATAACAACTTAAGAGAGATGGATAACAGTCCTGGAGGTGGTAAGATAAGATTTTACGTTATACTTTTTGCATAAAACTTCTTTATTGTGATTGCTAATATGTTTATTGTTTGTTTGTTTATTTTATATGAAATAATAAAATAAACAATAAACCTGCTGAACTTAAAAAATGTAAATCAAAGTGAAAATGTTTCTTTTTTTATCTGTTAATAACTAAAATTAACCACAATTCTTGCAAAATGTTGAACTTTATTTGTGTTTGAACTTTGCATCTCCAGATCATTCATTCTGAAATAGCTCTCCCATGACTCATTGAATAAATGTGTGTTTATTATACAGTAAGGTCGGTGGCAGGCAGTCTTGCAGCACATATTTGTGTGTAGTGGCTATACTTTGTTCTGCGAAGCGCGCGGGCTCCAGCTTTCGCAGCGAACCGCTCGCGGTTGCAGTGAGGTTGGCCACTTCCTGTATCTCCATGAAAACAAACTCACGTGTAGCTACAATAACCAGACTATCGCTGCAATCACTATCTGAATCTAAACTCAAGGTATAAAAATACTCACCTGTGCGATATCAACGTGATGTGATTGTATAATAAAAGTTCAGAACCGTGACATATTTCTGCATAGAGACATTAATTAGGCGACAGTGTCTCGAGGTCAATAAAGGTGCGCGTGCCCTCACCTTTTTCACCTGGTCAATCATTTAAACAGCATCACGTTCCAGTGCAGGTGATGGGAGCTCTGTCAGCATGTTGTTTGTATCCACTCACATTGTTTCTGTTCGAAATGATAAGTGAAACAAGGAAGTGAACCGTTTATAGCTGTAGTATTAATCAGGGAATAACTATTGCTTTATATGACATTGTAATTTCACGCTTGTTTGTGCAAAACGTTTGACAAGTTGCTCTAATTTTGTATGTTTTCATTTCAAAGCTATTTACCTACTCAAATAATGCAGTTTATTTCTTTATATTAATGAAGTAATTTAAAGACTATGATGGTGCATAGGACACAATGCTGTTATAGTCATTTATCAAATGAAAAAGCAATGTATATTTAAAAGTAATGATAAAAGGTATTGATGTGAACACATTTGAAAAGATTAGAATCAAACTAGCACCAAAAAAAAATATATATATATATATATATAATAATAATACATCTGCTTTGGTAATTAACTTAATAATATATAGTTACGTTAAAACAATTGTTTTATGTCCTATCCTGCTAACATGAAGCAATTCTGTTAAAGTAACTACATATGATTAAGTAAATGCGAAAAAAAAAAAGAAAAAAACGGTTGCATTTTTTTCAATGAGCATGTTAAAAAGTTTGCCCTGTAATATATACAAAATTAAATGCTTTCCTATTGGTAAAAAAAACAATCAGATAGATTATACTTTGACTGTATATTCAGCTGTAATGGAATAACAGAAACTGTCTATGATCAGATTGTACTTATTTAAAATTGTATCCATTGTGAAAATATAATTCCATATGAATAGAAATCAATTGGGCCTTTTATAAATTCCCTTATTTTCTGTAGACAGATTCAAATGCATTAAATAAGAGCTCAAATATCATGCTGTTAGTTTCAGTTTTTAATGCCAATGACTGTTGAAATGGTTCCTTCTCAGAAAGCATGTGGTGAGGTGGACAGCTGATCTGATCTGAGTCAAATTCATATGTTTTGAGGTAAATGTCAGCTGTGAAAGTCTGGATAAAATCAAAAGATCACGAGGAGAAACTTATTTAAAAATCGCACTGTCTGCATTGCACGAACAAAACAGAAATTGGGGGTAAAGGTAGGCTAAGATAACATTTTTGACCTGATTGATCAGGTGCACCTGCTGAAGGCACCCAGGAGTCCTTAAAATTCAATCTAAAACTTCCTCTTACACCCCCTGCTGGAGACTCCTATTGTAAAGCACAAAAATCACTTGCTTTGGGGCTACATGGTAATTTTTTTTTCTTCTTTTATTATTCAGAGCATGTTTAGAAGTAAATGTGTTACTTAAGAACTGGTGGCTTGAATAAATTAATTATATTGGAATTCACGAGAAATTGGAGGATTTCAGTTAGACGCTCCAAATGGGCTAGTTTTTGCCCTGCGTTTTGACTGACGGTGTAGTCATTGCTGTTATCAGGCCACCCACTCCCCAAACATGCTGCTCTATTTAATGCGGTGCTTTAATCACGCGCCCCCCTCGGCAGATGTAGAGGATGCCTTTCTTTGCTGGAGCGCAGATTCGTTTCTTCCCAAAGAAAAACTTCGTCAAAAGCATCCCTCACGTGCCCTGCCTTGCAGAGCCGCGTGCAGCGCGTGAGATAGCCTGTCCCTCATGCCTTTTGCAGCTTTCCTGCCGCCCGCAGCGACAGAGAGGGAGCGCTTGGTCAGTGGGTCAGCGATTCCGTGTATTAACTTCTTTTTTTTCCCTCCTCCCCGGTCACGTTTCTTTACCGCATGCCTCTTTTATAGTCCACCATCTCCGTTTCTCCCATTCTCTGTCTCACGGAATCCGCAGTGTAGTAGAATGTGACTATTTCCAGGCTGCAACATCTGTCCGCATTAGATCACAGCACACATCCGCTTAGGGTGGGTATCCGCGGTAACGTGACTGTGCTTCGGATGATGCAGATAAACCTGCAAGAGAAAGGAAATAAATGTGTTGCCATCATAGACTGACACTTATTTTTAGTTTATGCAGTAGCGCTTATTTTAAACATGAGAATAGGTATTTGAGCCTGAGATGCAATTTGATGGCAACCAATTTCAAAAGATGCTGCAGGCACATAGACACAGTTCTCTTAAGTTCCTGTGATATTGACCTACTTACACAAGTCTGTGGAAGCCTGCTGCAAATATCAAGTGCTGGAAGGGAGACATTGGTTCTCAAACTTTTTATAACAAGAACCAAGATTTCCAAGTGCCAACATCCACATCTTCATTTTAAAACTGTTTTATCCTCCCCATGCCCTCCAACAAAATGTAAAAAAAAATTATAATAATAATAAAAATCAGGGGAACATAACCCTTTGAGTTCAGTGGTAAAATGTCTTGTTTTTGCAAAGCATAGAGAAAAAAAAACAATGATAAAGTCTGAATGAAGGCAATGCATTTCTGAAAGTTGTTTAATTTTAGTTCACATCTAAAAACGAAAAGTTTTCAACTGTTAATTTGGAAAAAAGACCTGGTAGGGCTTTAAATACAGTAATTTCAATTGAGAAAAAGTAAATTCTCACCAAGCCAGACCTCAAAATCTAATATGTTTCTGTTAATACCCCTGAAAAAAAATTCATCTTATAACCATAAAAATCTTTAACAAACTTCATAAGATACACTTCAGTTCTTGTAGTCCAAAATATAAAGAAATACATTGCTCTTGTGCTACCATTAGCCTAATAAGCAAATGGATTCACATTTTTATAAGAACATTCAAAGTTCCAGATGCATGAACAGCTTCTTTTTTTTTAAGTTGATGGCTATTTCTTCTATTACAGTTAATTTATTATTGATAATAGCATAATTTTCTACCAGCTGTAGGGTACCTGCAAATACATTCAGAAAGCATTGCTCTTCACAAGTGCAGCTATGAAAAAGCTTCTTGTAGCAATCTGCATTCATTTGATCTGGATAAGTTTTAATATGTCAGGCCAAAGATGTTTTACACTTCATCCAAAACTGCATATATTGAGTTTACTTTGCTAAATTTTGATCTGATGTTTAATATTTCTAACACATAACTATAAAAGTGTCGGCTAACATGTATTATCCACAAATATTAATTTTGGTAAAGTAATACGTTTTTCAGGTAGCAAATAAACTCCTAAATTTCATACCCAAAGCCCGACAAACACCAGTAATGCATGAGGGAAAGGGATAAACGGAAAACAACGTGCTCAGCTCTGTTTGGTTTATTCTCATCTCACGTTTCTCTGCCTGCCTGGAGTCACAGATTAGTGCTTGCACGAGTAGGCTAGACTCAAGGCAGGCTGAGAGGAATGACTGACCCATTGAAAGATGTCATCTGTGACCTATATTTTTAGATGTTTTGATGTCCATACTATGACAGCGAGCCTGCGTTTTTCACTTGTTTGAATGAGAAATTACAGTAAAAGTAGAAAAGTTTCAGAGTTTGGGAATTCTGCCAATACAGCCTAATCCTTCAGTTGTGGGTAGGAAATTACCTTTGGCACAGAGCTGCCATAGAACAATAATTGTATACTTTCATATATATCTATATATTCATGGCAAAGAAGTTAGAAAGGACGAGAAATCTGGTCATTTTTAACTCTTAAAATCGTCAAATGCTCATAACATATTCATATCTACTCAAAAAATAGCCAGCACCAAGCTGAAAAAAATCCACCCCCTTTTTTGTTTCTGAATTTCCACATGAGTTCCCTCTATAGCTTTAAAGATATCTAGACTTAGACCTTTTTAAGGCATTAAGTGGTAGAATAGCTTCCATTCTGTGGAATTGGCAGATTTTAACTAAATTTCAGCTGAGTATCCCAACAGAAAGTATATAGACAGAGGTTTATATTGGAACTGTTGAAAGCTTGATCAGAGTCTGGAATAACCTTTTCACTCTAATTCAAATGCCAGTGGATATAAGGTGCTTAAGATGATATGCCAGGTTCAGGTTTAGCCATCTTTCCTCTTTGTGAACATTGATCTATTGAATAGCTCAAAATAATTCCAGTGTTTCCTTAGAGCCATCATTTTATCTGTGTGCATCTTGCTAAAAAGCGCCCTGCTCCTAGGAACCCTTCTTTATTACCTCAAACAGGGAATACTTAAATAGCTTTAACTATACATATAAATACCTCAAAATAATTTAATAGCTTTGCTGAAATATTGCAGGCCTACAAACATGAGTAAACTAGATATGCATTATTTCCAACTTGTCTGTCAAATGATTTTGAGCTCCAAGTCTTTAGATAATGTTGTCAACAAACCTTCCACATGACTACTAAAAAGCAGCATGCCACACAGGTTATTAATTGACAGCTTTAACGGTTGGCGAGGTCATTCATAAACACAAGTCAAACAGACATGTGAGTCTTCAGGTGTACATGCAATGTGTTGGGTAGAGTGGAAGGCAGGGCATTTGACTGTGTGTATTTAAGCTCATGAGAAGTAAGGCAGAGAGGGCTGTGTCTGCTGGATATGAGTCTATCATGAGTCAACAAATCCACCCACACGTGATGGTGCAGGGATTATCAAAACATTGAGCTCGGCCTGGAACTTGTGCAGCAGAAAGTTTTGACCTTTTCTCTAACAGTGGGCAAAAGGCAAGGCAAAGGAAAGGAAAGGCAAATTTATTTGTATAGCACAATTCAGTACAAAGAAAATGCAAAGTGCTTTACATGATTAAAGTATAGGAAAATAAAACAGAATCAAAGCAAGTAGGAAAAAAATAAAATAAAAAATGTAGCAACAAAAAAGAACATTAAAAACAGTTGGACTAAAGAAAATAAAAAAGTTGAACTAATGATGTTTCAGTTGAACTGTTTAACTAGAACAGTCAAAGGCAATCCTAAACAAATTTTTAGTCTTGATTTAAAGGAAATCAGGCTTTTACAGTTTTCTGGAAGTTTGTTCCAGATAAGTGGAGCATAGGAACTAAAAGCTGCTTCTCCAAAAGAAGCACTGACTCCACTTTGTCAAGTGTTGAATGAAGGAATGCCATCTAACTGTCCAAGAACATTATGTTTGCCTTTGAATTGATCATATCAAACCTCCTATGCAAGAGTTGCACAGAATAAAGTGCAACCAGCTGTTGTTCATACAGTTAACTCTTCTTCTTTGCATATTGCATTCATAAACTTAGTTTGTGCACATAGTCCTCTGCGCCAACTTAAGCCTGCAGTTTGTTTATAAAAACAGATTCCGACTTCCGATCGGCATGTTTATACCCCTTTACACGGGACTGCGGATTTGATTCGGGCGGTGACCGTGTCAGGAGTCCATGCATGTGAGGCGGCGGTCAGGTGTCGTGCTGTTAGCTGACGCCGGGCACGGTGCCACGGGAGCGCGCGGCTATTATAGGAGCGGAGGAAGCAGCGGACCCCGCAACACGTGAGGTCGCTTCTCAGCTCATCTACAGCAGCTGACATGGAGGGAAAGAGAGAGTGACGGGAGATGCGAGGGGTGCATCGGATTTTAAGACAGTGTAGATTAATTATTGACCATTAGAAGCGTTTAGGTGGTGCATAAACCTACAGTCAAAGGGTTTGTCTGCCGTGTTGGCGAGCTGCCCTCAGTATTTTTAGAACCCACTTTATCCGCATGATCGCACCATTATCCTTCCTGTTATACCCAGGAAGCGACACAAAAACACTTTTGATCTTAAAAAAAAAATCCTTTGCAGTATTGCATCATATTAAAGCAACCAAATAGATAGGAGCTAAACCTACAAAT